AGGAAACCTTCGGAGGGTTCTCCCTCTTGGCCGTTATATTCCTCGGTGGGTTGCAGCATTGGAACTTCGTCTTCAAAGCAATCAAAATTGTTGGGTCAGCGTGTGCTACATATGGTACATTATACAGGACTACCTGGTAGGTTACTTTGGTTGATTAGCAAATCGTCCATGGCGTTCATTTCTTCGTCAGTCCCGACTACATCCTCGTCCCCGGTAAGCTTTTGTGGACTGTCGAGTGCCTCGCGAGTTTGTTGTTGTTTTTGAGAAACGGCAATCGAGTCAGGGTAGAGATCGTGGTTCATTGGCCGTGAGTGGAAGTGGAATGAAGATGAGTTGCGAAAGGAGAACAGCTGCTGAACGATGCCGGTCAGTTTCTTTAAATCAAAGCACCAACAATTGAATCTTCGCACCTCTCGGCGTACCCACAGTGGTTCAACGTTTGCCTGGCCCGTTCGGGTCAATGAGAGTCATCGTAGGGTCGAGGGAGAGCTGGACAGGTTCCGAGGGTGGGCTGCGGAAAGCTGTTTCGCTGACAGTTCCCACTGTGGTCTCGTGGCGATTTGCGAGACATATGGGGCACTTCTCATCGGATTCTTCATCCACATTCACACCATTCCCAACCGCGTTAACGTCCGGCTCTCCCGCGGTACCTTGTCGTGCCTTCAAGTGTTGTTCCCACAGCTTGTGGTCGCACAATGGTACCTCGAAGCGGACTCTGCTTCTATTGGCGCCGGTTACGCCTGCGTTCGCTGTTTGGGTGTTGGAGGACGGAAGGTTAAGGAATTGGGCCTCTAGTTGGGTCCAGAGACTGGCGGGGTTTGACATGGAGGCGTGGAATGAGAGGGAAAGAACGAGAATGGGGAGATAACAGGGCCCAAAGTTTAAACAACATAACGGCACGCGTTCGTCACACTTCTTTCTCGTTCAAAACCATCAAATGAAGAAGCCTATGCTATAATTGTATATCCCCGCGTTATCTGCCCTCGGTACCGGCAGGTCCTATTGGTGCAAACACCCGACAACATCCAATCGAAGTCAGCGTCTTGTCGAAGAAGCCGACCTTGACACCGTGAGCTAAAGCGATAAATCTCCACACCCTTCTTCCATCGCCATGTGCGTGTGATGCGCGGGCATTCGATTCCGCAGCTGCGCTGAAAAGTCATTGTAGAGGGAAGTAGGGAGATCCAAGGAAATAGAGGGCCAATATGGTGGTTCACGCTGTTTGTGAACCAAATCCATTGTTCTACGTCTCCCCAGCCCGCTAACGAAACACGGTCACGTGTTAGTCGAGGGTAAGGACAAACGACCGTGTAACCCGCGATAAAGTTCATTTGAGAGGTAAATTGGGCCGAAAAAACGATGGGAAGGGTGCTTTTTGAGCCCGTGACCATTAAGTAGATGACAAAAGGCTGATTGGAGGAATTATTAGATTCAAAACGAGCAGCAGAAAGTGAACTCACGTGTTTTGGGTGAGCGAAGGTGTAGCATCTACTCACTCGGTTCTTGTATTGTTGAGTGCAAGAACTTTGAACATATCTAACCTCAATTTTGTAAGTTGGTAATGCCAAGTATGATAGCGAAACTGACCTGCGGAAACCTAGCCGGATTTCTAAGAAAGCACGCCACGCGTCTATAGCGCTTTTGGCGCATAGAATTTCCAGTGAGTTGATGTTGACCGTGATATCTTCGAAGAAGGAAAAGGAGACAAGTGCCAAAGGCAGGGCAGAGACAACAACAGATTCTGTGGCGTCCAACAAATCCAAAAAATGTTGAGTGAATGAGGCATCTGTGACAATGGAGCGATTTGGAACGCTCTGGAAAAAAGAGCCCAGTTTGGAAGCCACTCGTTCAAGGAATATGTCCTTCGCGTTGTCAGCGAGGACTCGATTGCAGCCAGCTAGGGCGTGAAATTCTGGCCATTGACAGTGTCGCAGAAGGGTGTCGACGCAGTTTGGAGACTCAAATACCCGCTGTGAAGCAGGCTGGGCGGGCATGGGGGAAGACTGTTTCGATTCTGATACAACAACAACTTTAATACTCTACGAGGAAAGGATGTCTCGACCAATCAGTCGCTCTCGAATCATCCTACAAATGATTTCAGTACCTTTTTGGAGATTTCCCACTGAGAAGCTCACATTTTCACTATCGCCTTCGCCAAAAGAGTGTCTTCCCGATCCATGTGTCCCACCCCATCGTTCTCAGGTTGATTTCCATCATTGCGCAGCGACCGAACCACCAAAATATTTCCAAACCAAGGGAAAGGGTAGGATGGTAACAAGGACCGGATGGTATCGTTTGAAGGTTGAGAGTCGAGTGGGGAACCCAATGGATCGTCTGGTTGGGGCAAACAAAAGACAGTGTACGCATAATCGAGGGGGTCTGGGTCATCCATCGGCCAATTTCTGACAGTGGCCATGGACGAGGGAATATCGACGACAGAAGCGTGGCGAAAGGAGGTAGGAGGAATCCACCAATATACATCCAAGTCTCGAGGAGACTCGGCGTGTGGCCTGTTTATTTTTGCGGGTACAACGACATGCATCGGGTCGGTATGGCCTGTCGCAAAAAGTAGCCCAGTGTAGAATTGAAATTTTAACGAGCTGTCCGTCTATAAAATACGGTGAGGTTCATGAAAAAAAAAAGTAGTTATAGACTCACCTCAGCGTCACGAATTCTGTACAAAGTCTGGGTGACGTTCTTGATTATGTGCGCGGTGTATACGGGTGCGTCTTTCAACGCACTCATGCTGCACAAGAAGCAGAAAACACTGGTGCAGGCCGGCCTCCCATTTGTTGTTAGTTACTTTCATTTATAGTTTGAAGGCACTGACATAGCCAAGGGCGGGTGTACTGTTACCCGTTGGTGAGCTGGGAATGGTTTCCACGGCAGTCTTTTGCATGGTACGCGGTAGGTCGAGTTTGAGGGGATCTGATATCTTGAAAGGCAAGAGATGGTGTTACCTTTGACAAATCATAGCTGACAAATCATGTCACGTTCTTTTCACTCTCACTGACACGAATTGGGCCATGTTGAATTCGGCGTCTTTGCTCGTCTTTGCTCGCAAGGGAAACTGTTTCAAACATCATACACTCGAAACTAATCGGAACTGGAATCCTCGTCTTCTTCTTCTTCGTCATACTCATCTTCATCTAGCAGAGAACGACCAAGCGAGGGAGACTGCAGCTCCGGTACATCCTCCTCTTCGTCTCCAATCGAAAGCACCCTCAACCCAATATCATCGTCTTCGTCGCTCTCGGAATCTGACTGACGAAGGTAAGAGTTGGTTGCGCACAGTGTCGAAGGAAACCACACACCCAACTCAATTCTTTAGTCCGAGGTTTAATAACCTTTATCTTCTTGGCTATGATCTTGTACACCTTTGCTCTCGGTAAGCTTCCCGGTACAAGGTGGTTGATAAATTACTCACTTCTTCAGTACGAACCACATTTTGGGTTGTCACAACTTCTGGTTTTCTAGTCATCTCGCATTCCACAACCACGGTGTCTCCAACCACCAAAGGAAAGAGGGCTGGTCGAGTAGGTGGGCAGAAAAAATCATACTCCCAATCGTTAACTGGAATCAACAGCCGCGCGAATTTGTCGTTGGGAAGAACGCTAACAATAATCTTATCGTTTGTTGACCAACTGCGTGCGTTCTAAATCACAAATACTTTAAGCCAGCGCGACAAGAGCAATGTTAGAGACAAACCAATGATCCAGGAGTATTCAATTGCTTGTCTAACATTACAGCGCTGTTAAGGGTGTGGAGCTGGGCGTTCCAAATCTCGGCAAAAGCAAAGACGTCCCATCCCGAATTCACCCAGTTCGGCATCATCAAGTCCATCTGGAAACCTTCATCGTATCGAAGGCTTTCTGGTAGACTGGCGATTTCCCCCATGAGAACGCAGGTGAACACATCCGAAGTCGTTGAACCATCCGATTTGGCTACGAAGGAGAATTCATTGGTGTTTGGTTCACAAGGTGGGTGAAAATCATGGCCGTAGTGAGCGTTTGCGATAAAGTTATGTCCATGTCCCTCCAGCGCCGTGATGAGGTGAATAGGCTTGAGAGAACAGTCCGGGGTCAATTGCTGCACAGTAGGATGAAGACGACGACTGATTTCCATGTCGATTAGTCCGGTGAGCAGGGAAACGGGATGAGAAGGGTCAAGCATGTTATGGGTTGGATTTCAAGTTGGCGGTATATAAAGGGTAATGCTTTGACACTCGTGCTACCAGCTGCTCGAAGTTTTTTTTTGCAGTCTATTGTGCAGCACTCTTCATGCACGTTTTCCACGTTGACACTCAGTTCACCTCCGGCCTTCGGTGCACAATGGATGATTTATTCAAGACTCACACTCTGAGAGAAGCTTTCCAACTCCTCGACGAGTTTTGCCACATCCCACCGAGAGCGAAGACATCGTGGAAAGCTTTATTCACATTTCTGGCCACTCTCGAGCAAGAGCTTCAGGATCGTATCAAGAATTTCATGGGAGCGAGAGTTGGATCCAAAAGGAAAGCATCCTCTGCGGCTCAACGTGAACCAAGCCGGAGAAAGCGCCCGCGATTAACACCTCAAAATGTGGAAACAGACGTGACTCGGAACAACACCAATAGCTCCTCGATAAAGGACAATTTCTTAGAAGTCCCGAGTCCAACGGTAATAGAAGCTTGCATCTCACGGTGAGTGTTCTGTACTAGAACCGCAATTTGTGCTAAACTCTACAGGTTTATTGATCGAACGAGTAATGCAGCTCTGGAGAAAAGGGTTTGCGTGGTGTGTGCCCGGAAAGTCTTCTCGTCCCAAACGGAGCGTCTCACTTTGAGAGAGTTACCCAACAAACACTTGTTACGCCCAACCCACCCTCATAACAAACACACCTTGGTGAACGGAAGCCTCTTTCACGATACGGTATCCATCCATGGCACAAACGACATCTGCCTCAGTTGCTTACGAAGCCTTCAGCGCTGCGACAAACCTAAGCTTTCGCTGTCGAACAACATGTGGATTGGGGATGTCCCGTTTCAGCTCAGCATACTCACCCTTCCAGAGCAACTGCTCGTTTCACTATATTTCCCATCAGCCTACATTATCAAAATCTACCCGAAAAACGTCAAAAGTTCCCCGCAGACTTCTGTAGAAGGGACCGGTGCAACGGTATCTAACGAAAAACTGCGGGGTAATGTGTCGACATTCAAACTCCCTACATCCGAGATTGCAGAGATGGTGGCGGGAAATCTTGTACCTCAACCGTCAATGCTCTTAGCAGCCACAATCGGTGTCACTTTCGTGGGTGCAGGTTCGACTGCTCTGGGTTGCATGCCCGGTCTCTTTCGAGTTCGACGACAGCGCGTTTTCGAGGCACTCATGTGGCTCAAAGAAAATAATCCTCTATACAGCGAAGTCATCATTTCGCAAGAGAGATTGAAACAATTACCTGAGAATGGAGTACCAGAGGAAATCATGCAATCGGTGCGGTATTCAGGCGACGTGGACGCGGTTGGGAGAGAGCATGCCGGATATGTCCCAATGGAGGAGGAAGAAGAAGGGGAACCGGAGGAATTCAACGAAAGTGATGAGCTTGCCATGGGTGAAATGACTATCGAAGAACAGGAAGAACTATCAAGGCGCTATAATTCTGACGAGATCGAGAGTGTCATCGCTCAGTTGGATTGTGCGTCAGTTTTAAGCCTCACTGGCAACCAAAGAAATAACACAAGGTGAAGCAGATGTTTTGGGAGTCGAAGACGATGTGGAGGGTCAAGAAAATATCGCCGAATTTACAGAAGGTGCGTTGCGTCCCTCGGATATGTTCACTAGATCAATTCTTTTGTCAGATCGAAATGTATTTCCTCTGCAAACACATGGCGTAATCGACGTGGGCGGGGAGAATATACCTGATGCAACTTTGTTTGCTCACGCAGTGGAAAACTCCATTCCCGCCACCTTCGCGCAAGACTACGGGGTGCGGAAAGGGAATGCTTTTGTAAACGAGTTCGCACGAAGGGACGAAAACGAGGAGCGATTTGACGGTGGTCCATCGAATCCAAATCACCTCTTGGGAGCGTTTCCCATGCTTTTCCCGTACGGACGCGGAGGTTTTGAAGTGGATCGAAAGGTCAAGGTCACCTATGAAGAGCACGTTAGGTGGGCCCTCCAACACGAGTCGGGCCGATTCCGGCGCCACACATCTTTTATCTTTCAAGTCTTTGGCGTTCTCTGGAAGCGCCAAGTATGCCGATCTACCTCTCTCCTGATCGACCATGATGCATTTGTCGCCAATCAGGAGGACTTCATGAAATTGAGGCCCAAAGACTTGTTAGAAGCCAGCGAAGAAGAGAATCACAAGGTTACGATTTCGAATCCGACCATCCGACTCTTGCGCCGGTATATATCAACTGTCCGAGCCAAAGTCCCAGGTACAGACGAAAACAGAGTATCTATTCGCTCTCAAATCTGGGGAATGTCATTGAAATTCAATCCACCATCGATTTGGATGACGATTAACCTCGCTGATACAAGCGATCCAATCGCACAAGTTCTGGCGGGTGTTGAAATTGATTTGGACAAGTTTGTCGCCAAATCCGGTCCCTCTGCTACCCAACGTTCGCAGGTAATCGGGTCGGATCCCTATGCAGCTGCAGAATACTTCCATCTTATCGTGAAACTCATACTGGAGGAGATGATAGGACTCAAATCGGGTACACAAGGAGCAATCAATCGACAAACTGGGGTTCTTGGAGTGGTCAACGGGTACATAGGTACTGTTGAAGCTCAGGCGCGAGGGTCACTTCATCTGCATATCCTCTTTTGGCTTCAAGGAGCACCCACGGCGCAAGAGATGCAAACGGCTCTCCAATCAGAAGAGTTTCGCAACAAAATCAAAAACTTCATTCGCCAAAACATCCGCGCTGACGTTACACAAGACATTCAACCCGAAACAAGGAGACGAAGCGTTGGAAAGTCCAGCGTCGCATTCTCTCGACCAGAGGACCCACGCACTCCCGATTACGTCGGGCGGCGTGAAAAAATGGAAAATCACGCAGCAACCATAGTTCAATCTCACGTCTGCACGATCTATTACTGTCTGAAAGGCAATAACGGTAGGCTCTTGTGCAAACGAGGGCATCCCTGGGCAACATATTCCGAAGACTGGGTTGACAATCTCGGAAACTGGGGTCCCAAACGACGGTATAGCTTCTTAAACCCGTGGAACCCGGCTATATTCGCGGTCACCAGATCTAACATGGATATCAAACTCCTCACTAACTGCTGGGAGACGAAAGACATTGCTTTTTATATTACGCTTTATATCGCCAAAAAACAAGTTCAAGCCGCAAATGCTTCAGCCTTACTAGCCAATTGCAATTTTTTTCTGAGCGAACCTTCAAAGATTACTCTAGATAACCCGATCCAAAAGATCAACAAGAGACTACTTCAACAATGCGCGAACACTCTTAGTCGACAATATGAGTTGAGTGGTCCCGAAGTCGTTAGTTACTTGATGGGGTGGGGAGATAGATATATCTCCCATACTTTTGTCAAACTTTATTGGGACGCAATTGTACACTCCCTGCATCACGCTTTTCCCAACTTGTCTTCTAAGTGCGTAATCCCCTAACTCTACGCCCTTAGGTTGACACCTTGACAGGTCGACAGCATCACACGTGAGCGTGTTTATTATTAATCAATCAATCTCGTGACGCCTTTAGACCACTCGATTGGTACTGGAAAACGGAAAATTCATGCTTCACGACCAACTAGGACAGTACTCTGAACGAGCAGAAGAACTTCTGCACCTAAATCTATATGATTTTTTTCTGACCACATACCATGACGGCCATAGTAAACAACCCACCGAAGACTCTCAGCCCGAATTACCCCCCGGTCAAAAACGTAGAGGTCGTCCACCGAAACAACGTTTTCCTTATTTGGAGTCCTCCGACCGCAAGGGAGCTAGAGTTATCCGAGGCGAAAAGCAAGAAACCGCTTTGCACATTGTTGGTCGGTGGTTACCTAGCCGAGATGATCCGAACGGCGAAAATTACTCAGCACAATTGCTTTTGCTCTTAAAACCTTGGAGACAACTTCCAGACCTTCTTGGCGACTTCAGCTCCTTTACCCAAGCTCGCGAACAGTTCATACAACAAGCCAAACCCGAAATCCTCCGCTTAATCGAAAATCTCGAATACTATCACGAGTGTCTTTCGAGTGCCAAACGAAGGCGTTCCCCTGATTCTTCAACGGAGGTAGACGACGACTTAGAAATGATATCGATAAGCGAAAACAGCAACTTTGTTGCCTCTGGTGGAGAGAGTATATATACCGAAGAGGACATACAACGAGCTCGAATCCACAAGATAACAAACGCTGAACGCCAATACGGTTTACGTGCTCTGGAGATAGCCACATCATCAGGCATCTTTCTAGAGGAATCTTCGTCGCAATCCCAAGAGAAACCAATTGTGAAACAGGCCACACAAGAAGACGAAGCGACCTTCAAATCTTGGGAAAGTAGAATTGCTGCAATAACCCGCCACACTCAAGACATTCAACGACACGATGTCACCGAACCTTCTGATTCAAGACCAGCTGTTTTAACTGGCATTCCCCCTCCAAACTCGCTCACAATCGCAAGGGTTATCTCCCTTCACAATGATCAGACAAGGACGAGAACCCCACAACAACAACAAGCGCTCAATATACTTAACACTGAACAGCGAAGGGCCCATCTCATTGTCGAACAACATCTTCGCAACCATCTCAACGGGTCCCAGCAACAGCAATTGTTGATGATTGTTCAAGGGGAAGGGGGAACAGGCAAAACGGTCCTTCTGAACGCGATCAGCCATACTTTCGACTTCTGGCAATCAAGCCACCTCCTGGCTAAGACAGGGATGACAGGAATCTCAGCGACATTGATAGAAGGGCAAACTCTACATCAATGGGGAGGTATACCCATTCGGGCGTCGGAAAAAGAAAATTGGATAACGAGTGAGTAGGAAACAAAATTCACTTGGAGTATTTTAACAATCATCAGAAGCAAGTCAAAAGATACAAGACAGGAGGAAACGCAATATCCTACCTGTCCAATATCTAGTTATCGACGAGTACTCAATGCTCACGAAAAAAACGCTGGCGCAACTATCTCAAATCATCGGACAAGTAAAAGCAACAATAGGGGAAGCTCTGTCAAACAAACCCTTTGGCAACATAAACGTCATTCTTGTGGGCGATCCACACCAATTTCCTCCCGTTGGAAATCCCAAAGCAGCGTTGTTCAACTCAGACTGCGACACCTCCCTTTTGTCTCAACTAGGACTTATGTTCTATCGTCAATTCGACACCGTAATCACGCTAATGGAACAAAATCGAGTCACGGACCCGACCTGGACTTTGTTCTTGAGACGTCTTCGTCACGGGGCCTGCACCGCAGACGATATAACCATGCTTCAAAGCCTTGTGATTACTTGCAACCAGCCGCGCCTTATGTGGCAAGAACAACCTTGGTGCGATGCAGTCCTAGTAACCCCGCGACATTCAGCAAGAATGGAATGGAATTCAGCAGCATTACGCCGACATCGCGGAGTCTCTGCAAATAGTATATATTACTGCAAAGCGGAAGATCTTACAACGAAGCCGGTCAGAACACTAACAACCGAAGAGCAGTTTCTTGTGGCGGGATTAAACGACAAAAAAAGTGGAAAACTCCCAGAGTTCGTGGAGATATCCGTGGGTATGAAAGCGATGGTCCTGTGGAACATATCGACTGAAGCAGACCTCGCCAATGGAACGCGTGGAACTATCACTGATATTTTCATTGATTCCAGAGAGTCGACTCCACTCTTGCGCGATAAGCAGGGAAGATATTGCCTGAGATATCCTCCCTCTATGGTTTTGATCAAAGTCGACCACTTCACCTTCTCCCAATTCGAATCTTTTGAACCTGGTGTTCTTCCTCTCACTCCTACTTCTTCGACATTCACCATCAAAAAAGAGTCTGGTGAATCCATATCTCTTCGTCGGCGACAATATGCCTTGACCCCCGGGTACGCATTTACGGACTACAAATCCCAAGGGCAGACAATTCCTTATGTTATCGTCGATCTAGAGAGTCCACCGCATGGCTCGCTCAATCCCTTCAACGCGTATGTTGCTCTCTCACGTAGTCGTGGCCGTGACACTATCCGGATCTTACGCGGGTTCGACCCCAAAATTTTCACGACCCATCCATCGGAGAAACTAAAAGTAGAAGATGAACGACTTCGAATCCTCACCGATATCACCCGCGAGAAATTTACAAGCAACTTAGGGAATGCAAACCATCAATAATCTACGACACCGTGTAATTTTGATGTCTCGAAGCGCCTATTTATGAAGCCTCATTTCGCTATCACCCCCGTCGTCGAAGATGTCTCGAGCCACCCTGGTCACCAAGTGGACTACTCGTTGCAGCGCCTGCGGCAGTCCTGACCCGAAAAGTTGCTGCGCCGGGTGCAAAGTAACTCGATACTGCGATCGCGACTGTCAAAAGAAGGACTGGAACGCCCATAAAACAGCTTGTACCGAGCACTCTCGCAGTCTCGAAGAGATCGGGGACCCTAGCGTCGCAAACATCGTCCAGTTTTTCTCTCGCTACATCGACAAGTGGCGAAGTTCTTTTTCCCATTGGGGTCTCTTTTGTGCCGACCTCGCAAAACCACAACGAAGACTACTTGAAAACACACTTGTAAGTCCAAGGTCACTCATGAATATCGACTTAATTAAACGAAATATAGCTTCGCTATTGTATTGGACCCTGTTGCACAACAAACCAAGAAAACAAGGAAGACGGCGTTCAGAGTGAAGCAGAATAAGCCGTGGAATGCACGTATTAACCAAAATATCAGGTTTCCTTGACGGGAATGTATAGCGACACTCTGTTCTCGACACTCTTACCCACCGAGATCATTGACCATCAACGCCAACATGATTTCTTTGCTGATTTCAACGCCATGCAAAAAACCAATGATACTCTCAGGGTCGTTGTGTCTTCGCGGGTCGTTTGTACCATGTTCGAGACCACTTTGAAGTCGATTCTCCCCTCGGAACTCATGGGTTGGTCCTCGAACAAACCCACCTCGACTTACTTTGCTACATTGTTTGAAAAGAACTTCAAGACCGCGGTGGTTGATGGAGAAGGTAAGAAACTTAACACCAGCCCTCGAGGACCACAACTTACAATGCTCTTTATCTAGTGAATTTCTCATTGCATCGGGCAGTTGAATTGTACGTTTTCATGATGACGGGATGTACAATCACTCTCCCTAGCCGAGATTAAACACAACTACGTCGAAGAAACATGTATTTTCCCGATTTATACGATTTATATTGCCGTTTTCGGTCTAATTATGTGAGCTGTGATTCCTTTTCTGAAAATGGACATTATATAAGTTGATACCGCTCCATCATGACCCGAGTACGTGGCCTCAACGCGCCGTCGTCCTCTTCCCATGCAAGCTTTGAGTGGTCACCTACCTCCGTGCGGAATCTTATATTGAACCTACTCGAACTACCTACACCTACTATATGCTTCGAACACCCAAATTCAATAACCACTCATTGTCATTCCCGTCAA